AACTTGTCAGGTTCCTTGGGACTATCTGCTTGGACAAGGTCACAAAATCTTATTGGCCCTTTAAAAGAACTTGCTAAATGTTGTGAAATTCCAAAATAATGAACTGGTTTAACTGAGAAAATGTGATTTCCCTCTTGTATCACAAACACTTTTTGCCAAAGTGGGGCTGAATTTACAGGTTTGCTTGCGATATAGAAGTCATTTATATGATGATTTGTGGTTATGAAAATTATGAAATTATACCTGGAAATAGCCAGTGTTTTTCTGGATTTAGAGTGAACTCTCATATAGTCACTATTTATGTGAAATTCCAGTATGTAATTATTTTCTTCATTTCTAATGACTGATTTTTAAACCAGGATGAGTTTAAACTCAAAAAAAAAGAAAAGGATGTTGAATGAATTTTTTTGAAAGGCCTGATAAACTTTTTATTATTAACTGTTACTGCAACAACATGAGAGAAATAATAACTATATCTAGCCTTAAGCTGTGATTAGTCAAACTTGCTATTGGAGGTAAAATCTCTATGGACAGGAATTTGATATTGTTCTGAGTTTTGAATTTGGGTAAAAATGTCTGAATTATCATTGTCAGTAAATCACCATTCATGGGAAATCCCATGAGCTGTTCAAATGGAGTGTAATCCAAGAGCTGCTACAGGTGGGAAATTTGAAAGGATGAACTTTCATAGGTGAACGGAGGATCCCCTTGACTCAGTTATTTCCTTTCTGAACAGCAATGTTTCCCAACTGGTTAATCCTCAGCCTGGCTATGATACTCTGTGAATAATGTGGAACTTTGCTATATGATTGGCCGTTCCAAAAAGTTAACGATGACATCTGAAATCAAACAGAACTAGAGATGCTTTATCCTGTTATATCTATGTTAAGTCACTCTGTATCCTTAGGCTTAGGCCAGAAGGTACAGTCCTGATGTTGATGATGTTGATATCCTTCCTTCTTCCTTTCATAGCAAATCTCTCTAGCTATGCCAGGTAAAAATGTAATATTTTAAATGTAATGAATCTTGTTGTTGCAATACCCCAGCACCTCTGAATTGCTATAATGGGATGCAAGTAGAAGGTACCTTATTGGGTAGCCTACTTTGATGGTCTTCCTATAGCTCTGTTATTCGTAAGACTAAATTCCATAAGGTCTAAACTGGTTTTCACCACATGAACTAATTACTGGAGGGCCAATTTGATTAGAGTTTGTCCAATTTTACTAAATTATAGTAAGTCCTAACACTGGCAGGCTTTGACAGCATTACCAAAAGAATCTTCATAAATGACCTGGAACCTGGAGATGGTCAAGGAAACATCTCCACAAACCTACCCTGATCCATGCACAGATGTTTGGGAGATGCACAAGAGGCTCTTGCCAGATACCTGAAGATCATAGACACTGCCAAAGGACGTGACACCTCCTAAAGCTACAGCCATATTGGATTTCTTTTTTTTACCTTACTGTAATTTTGTTTGTTTTATTAGTTCAGTGTGTGTTATCTGTTACCTATTCTGTAAGATGCTTATCATTTCTGCTTGGATTGATTTGGGAACTTTTTTTTTTAATTGTAAGACTGTTAATAGTCTCAGAGAGGGGAATCATGGCTAGCCAAGAAAGCTAAAGCCAACTCCATCTTGTCTGTGGTTCCTCTATTGCCTAGACCCTATTTGTATCACAACCCACCCACCTCCCCCTCCTCAATCTAGCAAGGACAGTCCTATCTATTAGAACAGGGTTTCAAGAGATAGCTAACTTGAGCCTTTCCTGTTTCTAGTCCAGCAACAGGCCTGTTGAATCACAGGATACCACATCCCCTATTCCTTTTCCACAAGCCCCCAATAACAACCTTGTCTAATCCTGAGGTACTTAATTCACCTCTTGCCTAAATTAAAACCTATATAAGCTTTGTCCTTTTGTTCCTTTGCGGAGTCTTGGCCCCTTCGGGTGGGGCTCTTTTGTTGACAAACTCAATAAACCCATTGGTTTCTAAATTTATGGTACTGGATTTGGGTTATGGTTTGGGGGATTTGGGTGACACCAACAATTTGACCTACAATGCTCACAGCAGTCCTTTGAGGTAGGTGCTGTTATTATCCCCACTTCACAGTTGAGGAAACGGACAGGTTAAGTGACTTACCCAGAATCACACTGCTAGTAAGTTTGAACTCAGGTCTTCTTGACCCCAGGTCTAGTTACTGATGGAAGCCTTGGTAGATCTGTGGGCTGAATCTCAGAAGTAGGATGAGTGAAGGTTAATTCAAGTGAGTTTTTTATTTGCCTAAGTATTTCCACTGATGAATTCAAACTTTTTTTTTCTTTTAAGGTCTCTGGCCAATGAGGCATTATAACCTTCTATTTTCTCCTTGTCAAGGAGATGATGATGGCCTTGAACTGTCTTTGGGAATTAACTGAATGCTATGCCCTTGCTTAGGATCTGGTATGAGCTTAGGAGCTGAGTTGAATGGGATCGAGGGCTTCTAGACAGTTTGGGGTGGGAAGAAAAGAAGGGAGAAATACTAGGTTCCTCTTGGCCTTAGGACCTCAATCTGAGGCCACCCTCACCTGTTCTACCTGTTATACCATCTGATATCCCCAACAACCCTGGGACATAGTTGCTACTCTTGCCCTCATTTTACAAATGAGTAACCTGAAGCTGAGAGAGGTCAAGTGACTTTCCCAGGGTCACACGGCTGGTAACTCAATCATGCTTAGAGCTCAGATTTTCTAAACTCCAGGCTCTGCACTCTATCTGGTACCTTGTGGCAAATTCAGGCAGACTTAAGTTTTCTCATCTGTCCTGCTCAGACATTTGTTCAGTAGCCGACTTCCCATAGTGATTTTCCACCTTGCCTCACCCATCCTGTCTCATTTGTTTCTTCCAGAAGGCCCTGTGGGATGGGCAGGCATAGCTTTTGGTACAGAGAGATGGCTCTGAGGACAGGCTTGAGCTTCTTGTCATTCCAAAACCAGCCTAGCAAACCTTGAGAGCTCCTCACTCCCAGACTTAGCCCAGGATGGGACCTCCCAGCCCCAATGCTATGATCCTATGATCCAGCCTGTCACTCTTCATGATTTACAGATGAGGGAATTGATGCCCAAGAAAGGTGAAGTGATTTCCCCAAAGCTGGAGACAAATGGGGTCTCTGAGACCCAGTCCCCCTAATTAGTGCTCGTTGCCTCCTCTCACAATATCCAGTCCTTATCCCTGTACAAATATTCCCCCAGCAGAATGTAAAATCCCTGAGGGCAAGGGGATGTTTTGTGCCTTTCATCCAGATGTCTGGCACACGGTAAGTAGACTCTTAGCTGCTTACAGGGTGAGGCAGACAAGAGGAGAGATCAAGTCACTTGCTCTAACATCAAACTTGTAGTAAATTTGACAGAAGAAAACTTGCCTGGTATTTTCAGGCCCGTCACTGCTGTTGCTACTGTATAAAACCAGAGGATGCTGTAGGAAGTAGTCTGGTTTTTATGAGTCTGTCCAAGTTTGGCAGAAACCAGGCTTTAAGGAAGCAGATGGTATTGAGAACAGAAGTAAAAATCTTTTTAGAACTTGCGGTGGGGGAGGGGAAGAGTTGCATTTAGATCAGAGGATCAAATTAAGACCTAGAAGGGACCTCAGCTATCAAATCCAACCCCCTTCATTTTTACAGATGAGGAAACTGAGGCAGAGAGAAGGAAGGTGACTCATCCAGGGGTCATAACACTGGTAAGGCAGAATTTGAACTCAGGTCTTCCTGACTCTTAAATCCAGCCTTCTGTAGGGAGGGAGGGGGAACTCAGGGGTATTAAAAACAGTCTTAAGAGCCATGGTATGGAGACAATTCCAGCTTGAAGTTGTTTCTGTACTGTTTTTTTAGCTGTGGAAACCTCGGTCAACTTAATTAGACTCCATTCCCCATCTGTAAAATGGGGAGAATATTTGTACTATCTCTTCTCTGAGTTCCTATGAAAATGTAGGCAGAGTGCTTTGGAAACACAGTGGGTGTGAGACTGTAGGCCTGGGGCCACTTAAAGCTCTCAGATGACCCTGTGTCTTCATCTGTGAAATGACTCCAACCCTAATCTCCATACGTAGGTACTGAGGCAAGCACTTTTCGAATACAGTACTGAAATGTTAAGGAAACGGGAGATGCTACTACCCTACCATAGGGCACCCGCCTTTCTTTCTTCCATGGGGAGTGAGGGACAGTGCAACTAAGGAAGGCGTCTGGGAGGAGCCAGGCCAGGCCAGGAGGAATAAGAAAGGGCAGAGGAGCCGGGGTCCCCAAGCCCCTGCCTCACCTGGCTTCTCCCAGAACCTCTTTTGCTAGAGAGGGTTTGGGTTCTGATGCAGCTTAGCAGGCATTGTGGTTTAGCAGAAACGGAGTGAATTTGTAGTCTGGGAAGCTAGCTTTCACTTTTAACTTTGTTGTTTCCGAGCCCCAGGCCTTTTCACACACTTCTGGAATGACCACTTCAACGGCGACTCAGAATCCGCCTGGCGAAGTCCCTGCCCCCTGCCCCTCCCCCCTCCCCCCCAGCCCAAGGCATCTCTCCATTTTCAAATTATCTTGTACCTAACTAATAACAATAGCTAGCATTTCTATAGCCGAAGTAGGTGTTATTATTATCCTCATTTTACAGAAAAAGAAATTGAAGCAGGCAGAGGTGGTGGCTTATCCAGGGTCACTTAACCTAGTAAGGGACCGAGGGGAAATTCAAAGGCAGGTCTTCCTGACCCCTAACCCATAGCTCTATCTACTGGTCCCAGTTCCAACCTATTTATTTTTTTTACATAATGTTGTATCAGAATAAGCACTTTAAAGGCAGAAACTGGTTTCCCTTTTTCATTTGCTTATGCAACCCAGCACCTAGCTCTTGTTAGGCGCTTAATTGAATGATTGTGGTCACTTTCCGTCTAGGGATCTCAGTTTACTCATCTGTAGAATGGGGTTGCTCGGTCACGAGGAGAGGCTGGGGATACATTAAGAAATGGAAAAAAAAAATCAGTTAAAAAAATTAGCCCTATGATTAAGTTCTACTTCCACTACCCCTCCCCCATCACTTCTCCTCCAGGTTGGTAGTTAGGAAATGGCAGCTAGGGACAGAATGGGGGCTTTTCCCTAGCCGGAGATTGGAAGTAATCTTGTGCTGTTTTTTTTTTAACCCCCCCAAATCTAGGTCCACTTAAGCCGAGAGTGAGGGCGGAAGAACTCCAACTAGATCTCTCGAAGAATCGGGGGTGGTGAAACCTCCCTGCCCCTGGGGCGTAGACCGATCCACCCTATAGCTGCCGAGCTAGACCGACCAGGCCAAAAGCTAATTACTTATCCAACATCTCCCCGGGCTCCGAATAAATGTAGGTGGCTCCGAGGTTCCAACCTTTGCCCTCTCCCAGCCTGGGTAGCTCTGGAGGCCGAGGAAGCCACTCCGAGGGGCTGCAGGACTAGAAGACCTGGACACCCCACTTCCGGCGGGTATGACTGTCTTAGGCCGATTACGGAATTTTCTCTGTTCTCCATCCCGCAGAGTTGGGAGCTTCCCCTCGCAGTGTTCGGAACTCCTTGTTGAGTCCCGACCCATTCCGAGCTTTCCCTCAACTCCGCGTTTGAAATGACTGTCACTCACCTCAGCGTCACCCCTCATCCCTGTTCTAAATTCCTCTCTTCTTCCCCGCTTTACCCCATCCCACCCCCTTCCTCCTCAGAGTTTCTAGCTTCGCACCCTTTCTCTCCCGGGTAGAGCTGGATATTCCCATTCCTCCAGGGTTGGAGTTTAGGAGTTCTCCCATTCCTGGGGCCCAGGAGGACCCTTTCTGGCTCAGCCTGCCTGCGCCATGCAGTTTGCTCTGAGTACCCATAGGAGAGCGATGCCTCCCCAACCTGTCTATGCCCTGAAACGGATCTGTCTCCTGGGGAAGTCCCAATCAGTTCCCTCCAGTGGCTGGGAGAAAAGAGGAAATCTTCATGCCACTCAAATGTCTGAGGGAGGGGCCGGGCCGGACTCTGAATGCGTCGCAAAAAGTTTCCGTAACACATCTAGTTGTCCAGCTTCCGCATCCAGCCTCCACTGCGGGAGCCGCTGGTGTGCTGCGCCTTGTCTAGCAGGACTGAGACTAGAACCTTCATTCTGGGGCAGCTAGCGGCACCCAGGCCCTGGGAAATCCTTTGGCTCCTTCCTTCTGGCTTCTCTGTATGTTCCAGCCTAAGCACTCTGGTGCTCAGAACTTCTAAGGAAAGGTAAGGGGAGGGTGAAGCTGTGGAGTCCAGTGGGGGCAGGGAAGTCCACCATTTCGTGGGTGACCCTGGCCCGGGACCCACGTGGATCCACAATCTCTTTCCCTTGTGGTAGTAGTTGACCGATTCCTCACTCAGGCAGGCAACACTTGGGAGGAAGAAGGAAAGGGTAGAAGGTTGGAATTAAGTACCTATTAGGACAGATATTACTACCTCCACAATCTTAGTCACAGATCTAGGCGTCACACTGCTTTGCTGATTACTGAGCAAAGGTTAAATGACTCTCTGACGTTCCTTTACCTTAGGAGTTTTTTAATCTATTTTGGTAACTGTATGTCAATAGAATTGGTTTCCTTTGGAATCCTCTGCATTTTAACCCTCTGCATTTAAAAACATTATTCTGAAAAGGTGCCCATAGGTTTTCCTCAGATTGCCCAAGGGACTCATGACCCCAAACACCCAAAAAGTTAAGAACTCCTGTCAGTTTGTTCAGCCACGTCTGACTCTTCATAACCCCTTTTGGGGTTTTCTTGGCAGAGATGCTGGAGTGATTTGCCATTTCTTTTTACAGCTCCTTTTACAGAAGAGGAAACTGAGGCAAACAGAGTGAAGTGAATTGCCCAGGGTCACATAGCAAGTGTCTGAGGCCAGATTTGAACTCAGGAAGATAAATCTGTCAGTTTACACTTTACCTTTTCCAGTATTCTTCCGTACAATCTCTCAGCCAAACTTAATAGCTCTCTCTGTGCTCCAGACATCTCCTGAGCTTTGCTACCTTGATGGCTTTGCTCACCTGTACTCTATGCCTGCCTTCACCACCTTCCTCCCCCCTTGAACTCCTAAACATGCTCTTAAAAGCCTAACCCAAACGCTGCCTTTTTCCTTTGTTCAGTTTTGTTTACAAAGGTACTTGAGTGCTAGGACAATCATATCTCTGACTTCATATTACTAAAGTATTTCTGATCAATATTTTTCACTTTATTATTTTTTAAAAACCAAACCAGTTTTATTATTACTTTATCAAAATGCCTGCTAAAATCTATAGGGCCTTTTGTTTTGTACATAAGGAGGAGGAAGATAGCAAATACCTGTTTTCTTTTCAGTCTTCACCTAGGGAAGAGAGAACAGGGATGTACTGGAGAGATTTTTAATTAACAGAACTGACAATTTATTGGTTATTGGGAGTGGCGTAAGTGAGAGTTAAGGGTCCAATACAAGTGATAAACCTGGGTGGCTAGAATTTATATTTTATTCTAAAAACAAAAGCCACTGAAGAAGCTTCTTGAGCAGAGAAGTGACAAGGTCAGATCTGCTCACTGAAAAGTGCTTGGTGAATTGAATTGGGGACAGAGACCTACCAGGTCTTAACTAAACTTTCTATTTGCTCTAGATCTTAGTAATGAAATCTGTTGCTGTTTGCTGGTGCTGGACATCAGATGGGGGGAAAGCCATTTTGGTCTTTTACATCATGGGTGAATTGATAATTTATGAAGTTATGAAATGGGGGCAGGCTTGCCCAAGTGTTTTGGGCATTCTCCAGGAAAGACCCTGATTGGCAGCCAGAAATAGTATAGCAGTCACACTTCAATGAAGGCAAACAGTACAGAAAATACAGAGACAAGCAGCAAAAGGATTACAGAGGTAGATGGCAGTGTGAGGACAGAGGATGGGATGGTGAAGGCAGGCAGGCAGTGTGGGGAAGATGATGGGAAGAGGGAGAGGTAGAAAGTATCCCTCACATAACCATATTAGAGTTGGAAGCACTAGGCAGCATGGACCCAATGCAGCTGGAAGAGGGTTGAGGTCTCATTTTTATAGGATTTTTTGTTTTTGTTTTTGAAACAGACCAACTCTTATCTGTGCCACCTTGGGACTAATTCATTAACATCCAAATCATCTCAAAGTGTTGGTAAAACTTCAAAGTTAACACATCCACATCATCTCCAATTTACCATCAACTTTTGATGCTCTGCTGGTCCTGAGCTGTGGAGGTCTGGATTTTTGTCTATGGACCAGATATCATAAGACCAGAACCCTGACAGTACCACCTAGATGGCTTTCCCTGATTCAGCATATATTACCAGGAAGTGAATTTTGGTTCATATATGATACAGTTTGTAAATTATGCTTCTTGGATGTTTGGGATGATTTGTATGTGACTTCCAGGTTCCCCTCTGTGATCTGATTTTCTGCTGTTGTCCCTTTATACTGACTAGAAGTGGACGGTAGTGGTTAGGGCGATCAGAACAAGATATAATTTTAATACAATGGGACTGTCTTTTAGAGGAATGAGATACAGACCAATAAATAACTATACAATTCAGGAAATGCCCAGGTTAAACTAAGGGGGCGAGTGATTGGAGGACAGGTCTCCTTCATCTTAGGGTGAATAAGAAAGTTTCCTGAAAGAGGTGGCACCTGAGCTGGGCTTGGAAAGAAGAAGGAAGGATTCCAACAGGAGTATGAAAAGAGGAGGAACATAAAATAAGGCTGGGAAGATGGGTTAGAGATAGACCAAAGAAAAGGCTGGAACTATAAAGTAGGGAGCTGGTATTTTATCTTGTAGGTAAGGGGAAATCATTGATGAGGTTTCAGCAGTGATGTAGTAAGAGCTAGGCCATAGGAAGCTTATTTGGGCAGCTGTGTTGTGGATGGGTTAGAGAAGGGGGTACTAAATCTGAGAGATCCTTGTAGGAGGCTGTTGAAACTGCCCACAGGAGAGGCAGTGAATGCCTTAACTAGGATGGTGGCCTTTTGAATAGTGAGAAGGGGATGACTGTGAGAGATGTCCCAGAGGTAAGATGCTCAGCACTTGACAGCTGATGGCATGAGAGTCTGAGAAGAGTTAAAGATGACTCCAAGGTTTTAACCCTCTGGGTAAGTGGATGACCCTATCAATAGAACTAGGAAAGCTGAGAGGAGGAATAAATTGTGGAGAGAGGTTATTTAGCTCTATTTTAGACATGTTAAATATAATTCAAGAAGCATTTGGTAATTGTCCACTTTGTGCAAGGCACTGTATACCAAGACAAAGAAAAAAAGAATCCTTGTCCTCGAGGGGCTTACATTCTACTATAAAATTATAAACAAATGCAAGGTATATTTAAAAACACAAAGTAATTTCCGGGGAAGGGAAGGACAATCAAGTGAATTTGGAAAGGTCTCATGTAGGAAGTTACCCCAGAGCAGGGCCTTGAAGGGCATTAGGGCTTCCAAGACTTGGAAATAAGGAAGGAGAGCATTCTAGGGATGGAAAACAGCCTATACAAAGGGGTGAAGGTGGTAGTTGAAATATTATGTGCAAGTAGGCCAGTTTTGCTGGAAAACTGGGTGCATGGGGGGGAAGTGAGGTTGTAATTTGTGATTGGCATGGAAATTGAGGCCTGATCCAGAATGTAAAGGGTTTTAAATGTTGAATTTGAGATGCCAATGACTGTTTAAGGGACAGTGTCCTATAGGTACATCCTAGGGTAGAGAGTCCCTACCCTAGAAGTCATCTAGCCCAGGGTTTCTTAACATCTTTTGTGCCATGGACCCCTTTGCAGTCAGTCTAGTGGAGCTTATGGACCCTTTCTCAGAATCATGTTTTTAAATTCATAGGATGATAAAGGAAACTGGCATTGAAATACAGTTATCAACATACTGAAAAAGCAAGTTCACATATCTCAGGCTAAGAAGCTCTGAACTAACCCAATCTGCTTCTTTTACAGTTGAGGAAACTGAGACCCAGAGAAGAGAATGACTTACCCAGGGGCACTTAGGCAGTAAGAAGCACTGGAAACTGGATCCTCCGATTCCAAGTTCAGTGCTCTTTCCAGTATACACAGCTGGGAGTAGGGGCTAGAGCTCAGGAGAGTATTCAGAACTGGAAAGCTGTCCAGACATACATATTTGCAATTAATTGGGCCATGGTCTGTTTATTATAAAAATTCATTCATTCATAATACATTTACTGAGTACAGTATGTACAGCGCCCTATTCTAGGTTCCAAACGGGGGATAAAAATGAAGAAGTCCCTGCCCTCTTGGAGTTTATAGTCTAGTGGGGGTTGGGGAAGGGTGGGAAGATAAGACGTGTACATAAATAGCCAGAATACAAAGTAGATGGTGATGGCCTTGCATGAAGTCTTGAGCGCTGTGCAGATCCCATCAGTCTTCAAGGGCTTCAGCTACAGACCAGGTAAAGATTCACACATCTATCCCATGAGGACCAACCAGTTAAGTATAGAGACTCATTAAAAGAAAGTTGGCCATAGGATAATGAATTTTCTGTTTTATGTCAGTAGAAAAGCCACAGAGTGGCTTTTGTTTTTATGTCTGTGCCATCCGCGTGGTAGGGAGGGAGAGCTCACACCAATAAAACCATGATTGTGGGTCCTTGGAAAAAAAAAGAATGTGATGAGTCTTCTATTGGCAGAAGAGATCACCTCTAGATGGGGGCTTCTGGGAAGGCTTCATAGAGAAGGTGATGTTTGAGCTGGGCTTTGAAGATCTCCCATCTGCCTGGGAGAACGAAGTTGAAGGGCATTCTGGGTGAGGTGAATAACACAAGCAAAAAGATACAGATACTGGAAAGCACAAGGTATGTTTAGAAAGTAATGAGCAGATTCTAGTGGATTGAGTGCTAGACCTGGAGTCAGGAAGACCTGAGTTCAAATCCAACCTCAAACACTTCCTAGCTGTGTAACCCTAGCCCAGTCCCTTTACCTCATCTGCTTCACTTTCCTCATTTATAAAATGGGGACAATAACAGCACCTACCTCCAGGATAATTGTGAGGATAAAATGAGATAATATTTGTAAAGCATTTTGTGAATCTTAAGGTATTGTATAAATGCTAGCTATTAGTGGGTAAAATACTGGACTTGAAGTCATAAAGACCTGGATTTGAATTGTACCTCTAGACCCACTAGCTATGTGCCTCTGGACAATTCACTTAACCTCTTTTAGCCTCAGTTTCCTCATCTGTAAAATGAGTGGTTTGAACTTAATGACCTTGAAGATCACTAAGGGACCTATGAATTGGACTGCTTTCCTGGAACTGGAACAAAAAGAGTAGATGGGTGGGAGGGGAGGAACCAGTAGGTGGGGTGGGACCAGATTGTGGGGTTTGAAGTGCTGGGCTAAGGAGTTTGGACTTTGGGTTTTGACCACATCACAGTCCTTTAGGAAGAGTGGTACAGTGGAAGACTTAGTCTCTAGTCCTTACTCACTCGATATGTGACCACAAATACATCTTGCTCCCTCTTTGGGCCTCAGTTTCCTTATCAAGTAAAATGAGGTTGAACTTGATGTCCATCTCTAATATTTGGTGAGTCTGACTGCAATGAGATTGCTGACAGTAGAAGAAATACTGGAGCCGGATGAGTCCTGTATTGGGGTAATGCCGGTGGAAGTAGAAACAAGGAGGAGGCTGGGAGTGATTCGTTTCTGTTTAGTTTTGGGTTTGTTTGCTTTTTTTGGCTAGGCAATGGGGTTAAGTGACTTGCCCAAGGTCACACAGCTACTAAGTGTTAAGTGTCTGAGGCCAGATTTCAACTCAGGTCCTCCTGACTCCAGGGCCAGTGCTTTATCCACTGCTCAACCTAGCTGCCCTGAGTGATTCATTTCAAAGGAAGAATTGGTGGTACTTGGTGACAGACTGGAGATGGAGAGGGATCAGTCAGAGACAATCCTAAGACTTGAAGATTAGAGAATGTTAGTGTCATTGACAGAATTAGGAAGAGGAGCCAGCTTGTTGTGACAGAGACACTAAGTATGTGTATATTTAGGGAGATGATAGATTTCATTTTGGATGTGCCAAGTTTGGGGCAAAGGTGGACAGTTGGAGATGCATGAGCTTAGGAGAGACCTAAGCTGAGATATGAATTTTAGAATTACCCTCATGGAGAATGGAATTCCATCCATGGAGGTAGATGAGAGGGAAAGATGACTGAGCTCTGGGCACACCCACAATGAAGAGTGGAAAGAAGAGCCATAAAGTAAAAGTTCCCAGGGAGGTAGGAGGAGAACCAGGGTAGTCACCATCATAGAAACTGAGGGAGAAATTAATATCCAGGAGGAATGAGGGTGGTCAGAAATACTAACTACTGAAGAGAGTAAGGAGGATGAGTGTTATAGTGCATAATGGCTATTCGATTTGCTAGGGGCAGCTGGGTGGCAGAGTGGAGAGCCCTGGGCCTGGAGTCAGGAGGACCTGAGTTCACATCTGGTGGTAGACACTTACTAGCTGTGTGACTGTGAGCAAATCACCTAGCCATGTTTGCCTCAGTTTCCTCATCTGTAAAATGAGCTGGAGAAGGAAAAGGCAAAGCATTCCAGTGGTTTCTTTGATAAGAAAATCCCAAATGGGGCCATGAAGAGTTGGACGCAACGGCAAGGACTGAACAACAAAGTTGGATTTGATGATTATGGAATCATTGGTCCTCAATTGATACCTATTTTAATCCATAACATTCATAGTGTCTTAAAGATAGAAGGGACTTGGTAGGTCGTCTGGTCCAACTCTCACCTCTCTTATGAATTCCCTCAACAGCAGCCCTAAGAAATCCAATGTAAACACCTCCAATGATGGGTCACAAGTTTCATATGTGGACAGCCCCACCTTATTGTGATATTTCTAATAATGATAACACAACTGACCTTTATATAATGTTTTCATGTTTTCTTCTTACACTCACTAGGCTGTGTGTAAGAATTTAACTCAACTCAACTCAATAAACATTTATTAAATGCCTACTGTGTGCAAGGCAGCACTGTGCTAAGCTTTGGGGATGTAAATAAGAAAAAGAAAGACAGTTCCTTCCCTCAAGAAGCTTATAATCTAATAGGAAAAGACAGTACACAAAAGGAAACTGAAAAGGGATGGGTAGGGGGGACCAGCAGGGACTACCCAGCACCAAGGCATGATGTTCTGGAGTCTAAACCGCTGATAGAAAATGGAGTTTCCTGGAAAGTGAGCCTTCTCTAAAGGAAGGCTTTATGAGGAGTTTATTGGTCCCCCTCCAGCCCTCCAATCAGAGGGGAGGGGGGCTCAGAAGATGTTGAGTATCAGAAGCTGAGTTAGTCTGTATGGTGTGATGAGATGTCAGGTGATCAGTTTATCTTGGGGAAGCCATGATGTTCATGGAGTACAACCAAGCAGAACTTCTCATGAGACCTGTGGGGGATGTGTTGGCTCTCTTTAAATATTGCAGGGCTTTTGGTGAAAGATGGATTAGACTCATTTTGCTTGTCCCAGAGGACACAATTAGGAATGATGGGTGGGAGCTTCTGGGAGACAGATTTGGATTACTGTAAGGTAACATCCTAACAGTCAGAGTGATCCAAAAGAGGCATGGGCTGCCTCGTGAAGTAGTGAGTACCCCATGATTGGAGGTCTCCAAGCATTGGCTGGATGACCCACTTGTCAGATAAATTGTTAAGTGGATTCTTGTTCAAATGTGGGTTGGACAGGATTGGCTAGGAGCTCTCTTACCATCTTTCCATTCTGTAGTGCTCTGATTTGCCCACTTGGGTTATTGGGGGCCATTGGGGCAGCTACTACTACTCACAGATTGGTTTATCCTTCATTCTGGAAGAAGACTAATGACATCAGAAGAGTGATGTCTTGACTTGTAAACAAATTGGATTTAAGATCACATTGCTAATAAGAGTCAGGGCTGGGGTAGGAACCTAGGTCACCTATGTTTAAGAGCAGGGATCTATCTATAAGACTCCAAAGCTTCTCTTGATGATAGGAAGAGAAAGCCAGATTTTTCCCATGTTAGCTATTATGTTCCTGCTCCAGGACCCTATATTTACACATTCCTCAAACCAGCCCTGTGGAAGGCAGGGAGGGAGGGGGAAGAAAGAGCAGCCCCAGTGCCTGTCCTCAGGGAGTTTTCAGTCTAGTTAAGAGGACAGATTTACATACAGAGAACAACTATGTGGATGCTAAGTTCAGTAAGAGCTCGGGAGTAGGGAGAGAAGGATAGTATAGTATAGAGCCCTGATTCAGCTGCTTCTTATCTATGTCACCCTGGGCATTTTTCTTCTATGGGCCTCAGTGCCAGATGATCTGTAAGGTTCCTTCTGGCTCTAATTCCTGTGAATCCCAGCTCATACTCGCTAGTATGGAACTTTGGATAAATCACTTTCCCTTTTTGAACCTCAGTGTCCTCATCTGTAAATTGGGGATAATCCTTCTCCTAGCACTCACCCCACAGGGTTGTGAGGAGAGCTTGTTGTAAATCTCAAATGCCCTTAGAAGTAGGGGGCATTGTTATCCCGAAGGGCTGTGACAGTCAGAGAAGGCTTCTTGGAGGAATGCTGCTAGGATTTGAAAGAAAGAAAAATGATTGAATTATTATGCTAAATGCTATGGATACAAATAGAAAAGCAAGCTAGTCTCTGCTCGCAAGCTACATTCTAAAGTGAGCTTGACATATAGAGGAGGTTTCACCTTCAAGTCACATGGAGAGGTCCCACAGTCTTTGGGATGCAGACACAAAGCACCCATTAATGCAGCATCTTTAATATTTCTACCAATACTCCTGTCCATTTCCGACGCTGAGCCATTTGAAGGACTGTGGTGGCAAGGATTTGATTTTTGGACGCAGGGGTTCTCTGCTCAAAGAAGCCTCTGCCAGGTTGCATCTCCATAGGAGTTGCTCCCTGGGATGATGGTTGCTGGGGTTGGGCTGGGAGCAGAGCCGTGGGTATTGGAAGCCATAGTTATTCCTAAGGTTCTTAGGGCCAACATCTTGGACTGCCTCTTCCGGGGCATGTCTGAGGGGAGAAGTGGTGGCTGAAATGGGGGTAGTAGTATCACTCTCCTGGCACATACCTCCTCCTCTCTGTCCCTCAGGGTGCTTTGCTACCATAGCTAGGCTGGCTCACCTGAGAAGTGGAGGAAAGGGAATGTTATGGGGTGGGGGTGGGGTGAGAAGGAAAAGCATGTGTAAAACAGTAACTCTGCTTCCATTCTGTTTGCTGCAGATACAGTTGAAATGCCTGAAGGCAGGCTGTTGGAGGCCTGAGGTACTGGGATCAGAGCCAGAGGGCCCTCCCCTTCTCAGGTGGACAAAGCAGAACATGCCATGTGTACTCCTTCTCCAGGTGGCCAAAGATGGCAGAGGATGCCCCAAGCTTGAAGGGAGCTTTTGATATCTTACACCAAGCTGGGCAGGACAAACTCCTTTACCTAAAACATAAGTTGAAGGCCCCTAGGCCAGGCTCCAAAGTCAGCAGCCTGCTACATGCCATGGTCCTCCTGACTCTGGGACAGGAGACAGAGGCGAGGATCGTCTTGGACTCACTGAGAGGAGATAAGGTAGCCCTCTCTGTGGCTAGAACTTGGGAAGGGACAGGGCCTCTCCTGAACCAGGTGGACCTTTTGCCATGTGAAGAGCGGGCAGACATCCGATTGGCTGTTGCCCGCATCTACCAGTTACTAGTAGAAGAAAAGCTATGTGAGGCTTCATCCCGGAACCAAGCCTATCAGGCCGCCATTCAGGCCCTCAGCCTGTGTCATGACGCTCGGTTGGACAGCATCCTGGCTGAGGCCCAGTCCCAGTGTGGCCATGATATCCATGGGGCTGGGAGTTTCCAGATGCTCAGGTCAGATGTGAGCTGCCTGCCAGTATCCTCAGCCCCCACCTCTAGGGTTAATAGTCACCCTTGGCCCATTAGGGCCAGGTCAGATTTACTGGCAACTGAGTCACTTCCCTTATCCTTACACTCTACTGGCAGTCCCGCCTCTTTTGCCAGCAACCTGCAGATCAGTCAGTCCCCCACTTTGCCTTTTCTCACCCACCTGCCTGAGAAAAAGAGCCCCAGAGGCCCCAGTAAATTGTGTGGGGACCCTCAGACCAATTCCACACAGGACCCTGAACCACAGGCCAGACAGGAACCAGAGGAGATGAGCTGGCCTTGTTCAGACCCAGCCGCCTCACTCCCCGTACAGCTAAACAGCTCGGCCTCAGTGGTTTCTGGTCCTCGGCTTCCCAGCTCCTCTACCCCCCCATCTCCTTCAACCCTAGTGGCCCCTGAGACCAGCATACTTTCTCCTGTGGAATGTTTTAAAGCACCTTCTGACCCCACATCTCTACAGCCAGTTTCAGTGAAGCCTGAAGAAACTCTTGTCTCCAAAGAGGGTTTTAGGGTGGTCCCCGAATTGCCCCCCATGTCGGGCCCTCCTGCCGGAGAAGGGAAGGCCACCCCGCTCCCCGTGCAAGAGAGTGATTTTCCAAAGAAGGCCATAAATCCAAGGCCTTCCATCTCTACCCAGGATCCTTCTCCATCTCCATGGTCTTCACGGCCCTCAGGAGCGGAGCTAGACACAGGACAGCGTTTCTTCAGCTTTGTGATCCTCCACGCTCAAGAGGACGAAGCTATTGCCCTTCGAGTCCGGGATACCCTAGAGAGCCTGGGCGTACCAGATGGCACCACATTCTGTGAGGAATTTCAGGTCCCTGGCCGTTTTGAGCTACGGTGTTTGCAAGATGCCATCGACAACTCCGCCTTTACGGTGCTGCTGCTCACTAAAAACTTTGATTGCCGCATGAGCCTCCACCAGGTGCATGTGGCGCTGATGAACTCCCTCACGAGGAGTGAGAAGGAGAACTCCGTCATCCCTTTCATTCCCCAGGAGAACACGCTGAAATCTGCCAAGGTCTCCCCACTGCTGAAAGGCCTGGTAAGCCTGGATGAGAGTTCTCCTGTCTTCTCCAAGAAAGTCCGTAGCACCTTCAACCCTCGGAGGCTACAAGCCCAAAGGGAAGTGTGGAAGAAACAACAGGAAATCCAGGCCATCCAGGAGCAGACTCAGCAGATGGCAGCTGACAGGGAGAGGGTCTCCCAGAAGGAGAGTGCCCTCTCTGACTTGGCATACCACTATAGCCTTCTGCAACAGCAGTTACAGAATCTCGCCTTGGCTTTTCCAAATCAGGCATCCTTTGCTCAAGGCTACAGGATGCCGATGCCACATCCTTGGACATATGGTTTCCCCTCTCAGTTCACCACCACTCCCTCAGCTTTGCAGCCCAATCAGCTGATCCCACCTATGTCTTTTCCCCCTGGCCCTATTTCAGCCCCCCAGCTGGACCCTCAAGGTGCTGGGGCCCAGCCTCTTATCATCCATAATGCTCATATGGTACAATTGGGTCTCAATAACTACATGTGGGGCCAGAGGGAAGGGCAGGGTCCCAATGAGGAGGAGAGAACTGAGGGAGAGTGAGAAGAGCCAGGTAAGGTCCAGAGCCCTTGCTCCACTGTTCAGCCGTCCCCTGCTGCCAGCACTGGTCTGAGGAACCAGGAGAGCAAGCATGGGCCAGTGCCAGAGAAATGTCCACAGCTAGGATCGCAAATTTAGAACTGAAAGACACCTGAGAGGCCCTTCAGTCCAACATCCTCATTCTACAGATTAGAAAACTGACGTCCAGAGAAGATGGGTGACTTCCCTGATGTCACACAGCTAGTGATGGCTAGAATTGAGAATTTCATCTCAAGGATGGCATGCAGGGCTTAAGAGTGCAAGAAAGCATCGCCACCATCCCTGCTCATTGCCTGGTCTCTCCATGTCCCTTGGGGGACTTGGCAGCCACAGCATTACAGAAAGCCACAACATTGTGCAAGTAGAGAGATGCAGCATTTTCCTTTTCTGGTTCTGTTGCCTCATTTCTTTCCAGGGTCTGGAAAGGACCCTCGGTTGAAAGCTTCCAGCTCAATATCCCCTTGCTGCTCAGAACATCATCAGGGAACCAACCTCTGATAGTGATCTTCTGTCTGGGGCCTCCTTCTCCTTTCCAGATTCTCCACTTAGACTCCACCACTTGTGAAGTGGGTCTCCCTCTGGTTGGGCCTTCTGGGTTTGAGGTTTAATGTATTTGAATGTGTTGGAGGGGAGGGGAGGTCATTACTGCCATCATCAAAAGACACAAATGGATGACTACTTTGTGCATAGAACTAGGCACTGGAACAAGGTTGTTGTGGGGGTTTTTTGGGGGGGATGTTTTTGGATAGATTTCAGGTGCTTCATGAACTTGGATGGGAAAAAATGACGTATTTATTTTTGCTACTGTTCAACTTAAATGTAGTATTTCCTTCCATTATGAATTCAGGCAATAGACACTATTCTGAAAAGGAATCCATAGGCTTCCCCAGACAGCCCAAGGGATCTGTGACATAGAAAAAAGATTATGAACCCCTAGACTAGATGGAGGGGAGAGGAGGGGAATAGACAGAGTCATATATATATGTATATGTCTACACACACACATACACATATATGTCTTCACCTATATTAATGTCATCTTCCCAGCTGACTGTGTCATCTTTCTCTTTCTCTCTATGTGTACACACACACACACACACACACACGGAAGATGAGATGAATATAGTTGAAGACATGCTTACTACCTGTAGGTCTCTTCACAGAAAGAATCTGATTTCGGCCAGTCCCCTTTCGAAGATCTCAGAAGAGGAGAAGGCACCTTCTCTTCCCAAGGCAGCCTTGTCCACTTTTAGATGGATCTAGTGGCTGAGAAGTCCCTCCTTACATTAACCTGGTGCTTAGCTCTCTGCTTCCTCCAACTGGTTGAGGTCTCTGGGGCCAAAGAGAACAATGCCTCTTCTCCCTGACAGCCCTTCAAATACCTAAAACACATTTTAACGGTAGGTGGCAGCCGCCACATGCTACGTATCCCTCCTCGTGAACCCCTGCCCCCCCTGCCCCCCCAAGTCTGCAGGCTAAACATCACTGATTTCCTCATCAGATCCTCAAAGGGCCCTCATGATCATGGCTGCCGTCCTGCACACTCTCCAGTTTGCTGATGTCCTTTCTAAAATGGGCCTCTGAGTACAGAACCCCAGTTTTAGGTTGTACTCTTGACTCTCCCTGACTTTATCATGCCATGGAAACCTCTTCATCCTGGGAGCTTTCACTGGCCCTGGACTTCCCACATTGGAAGTACTCCCTGCCCCTGCCTCCTCTCCTTCTGATGTGTTGGCCCAGGCCAACCATGTCCTCATTCCTCCACACAGTACACTCCTGACTGTCCAGACTTGCTCTCCAACATGGCCCTAGGCTTCATACTTACATCTGTCTCCCTTCTTTCTTGCTTTTCAGTGCCCTTTCATGGGTTGTCTTCCCCCATCAGAATGTAAACTCCCCCCCCCTCCAGGCAGTCAGGGTCAAGTGACTTGCCTAGGGTGACACAGCTAGTGAGTTATCATGTATCTGAGGCCGGATTTGAACTCAGGTCCTCCTGACTCCAGGACTGGTGCTCTATGCACCGTGCCACCTAGCTGCCCCAGAATGTAAACTTTTTGAGGATAAAGTCTGTCTTTCTGTTTGAACTTATATCCCCAACACTTAGCACAGTCTCTGGCATACAATAGGTGCTTAATAAATGCTTGTTGAGTTCCTGACTAGGGAGGAGTACAGTTAATACTATCATGAGATCATATGAAGGCTTTGGGGTGCCATCATATCACAACTAACTCACTAAGCTTACAAGCCAGTAAAACTCCAGATCTTCTATCAGATGAACTCGCCATGCCTCCCTCCATCTTATATTTGTGAAGCTGATTTTCTTTCAAGAAACCCCAAGTATAGGAGATCTTATAGAGCTTGGGTAGCAGAAAGAGCTCTGGCTTTAGAGAATCTGGGTTCAAATTCCACCCCTGCCAAATTACTAATAGTAAGTAGGGCAAGCCTCTTAACTTTTTCTATGGGGCCTCTGTTCCTTATCTGTAAAATGGGTATTTAAAAGGCCCAGGGTAAGCACAGATCCTTGGGGCACTCCACTGGGCATTACCTCTCTTTTCAGCTGCCATCAAATCATTAATGACTTCTCTTTGGGTCCAACCATCCAAGCAGAACTGAATCCACCTAAATGTATAATTGTGGAATCCACATTGTTCTATCAGGCAAGAAAATTATTCCTGTTTAATATGTAAGTTGGACTTGAGGTCTCTTCCAATTTTGAGAGTCTAAGATTCTGTGAAAAGCACATGGGCATCTTTCTGCCCTTGGGTTCACAATGAACTAGGAAGCCACAACTTACTTTAGTACTAAAAGGACCAATAGTTTTGTCAGGGCAGGCACTCTCCAGGGACAGATACAAATTCCAGCCATGCGTCACTTAACCTTACAAATAGTTTCCATAGCTGTTGCAGGTGAAAAAAAAAATGGACCCAATGTCCAACCCTGTGGTGATGGACTTTTCCAAATTCAGCCAGGCTGGTCTTTTGGTGACAATCCTATCACCCAACCAATCCTTGAAGTCCTTACAAAAAGGCCTTGGGACTAGCCAGGGCTGGTCAACACTCTGGGCAGAGCCTTTGTGATGCTAAGGGCACCATGATGTACCTATGAAGAAATGGAAGGAGGCTTTAGTAGAACTTGACATAGTGTTGACAAATGTTCTTTTCCTTCCATGTTGGTGGTTGGGGATGATGGATGGTTGAACTGAAGGTTGAATCAGCTCTTCTGTAATAAATATTTATTGACTAATTCCTTGTATCTTTCAGTGTCCCTGTCCTCTAAATATGAACTAAAAAAAGGGGGGGGAACCCAACTTCTCAAGCAGGGAAGGGTGTCCAAGGAGTAGGCCCAGGCTCAGTCATAAGCTAGGTGAATTGCCCATGGCAGGCTAGTAAGAAAGGGCTCAATTTTGGCTGAAGAATGTTTTTTTTTTTTAATATTGGAGGTGGGAGGGACAAAGAAGGAAGGAGGAAGTCCTTTTGAATATAAGACATGGAATCATGATACTTGGCTTCAAATCCCAACACTTACAAGCTGCGCTATCTCAATGGGCCAGTCATTTAACTTATCTGTCATTTCACTTGTAAAACTGGGTTGGAGGAGGCATGATAATCCCAGTAACCACCCACATCAAAGGGATGTTTTGGGTGAAGTCACTTCTAAACCTTAAAGTACTATGTAAATGTGAATTATTAGTGTTAATAAGTAGTACTAGGTTGCATAAAATGGTCTCTGTAGATTAGCTATTAGTTATACGTCAATTAATTATTAATTATTAGAATTAATTATTAGCCGTTAATCAAGCATTTACTGTGTCAAGTACTGTTAGGTACTAGGAATACAAATACAAAAATTGAAACAACCTTCAGACGTGCTAACACTCTCTTAGGGGGGCAACAAAAAATATGTGTATATATGTATATACATAACATATAACATATATACACAACTATATATGTATATACACAACATGTATACATGCGTACACACACACACACACACACACAGAATTAAGGATGAAATAAACACAAAATAGGGAAGACACAAGCAACTGGAATCCGGAAATGTTTCAGGTACCACGAAATGTGGCAATGGAATGTGAGATGGGCTCAGATGTTCTAGAGCTTCTGCCAATGGGAAGAAAGGCCCCACGTACTCAAAATCCTCACTCTCCAGCCAGAGAGGCCAGACCTAATGGTATCCTCACCTGAGAGAGTTGAGGAAATTAGAGTGGGGAATTCAGCCTCCTATTATATATTCCTAACAATCAGAGCTCTTCCAAAGTGGAATGGGTGGCTCTGGGAGATAGTGAGTTTCCTGTTAGTAGAAGTCTTTAAGCAAAACCTAGATAAGTATTTATCAGGGATGTGGGGTGTGTGTGTGTGTGTGTGTGTGTGTGCGTGCGCGTGCATGCCTTGTAAAGGTACAGGTTGGATGTTTTCAGAGGTCTCTTTCAGCCATGGGTGGTATGACACAAATAGTGCTCCATAATCTTTCCCTCTACCAGCCCATTGCTGATATCTGAAATTCCATCTCCAAGACATCATTCTTTTGTGATTAAACATTGCATTTTTTGAGGGGGTGGAGCCAAGATGGAAGAGTAAAAGCAGTGTATTGCTTAGGCTCTCCCCCAAACCCCTCCAAATACCTGTAAAAAAGTGGCTCTAAACAAATTCTAAAGCAAAAGAACCCACAAAAAGACAAAGTGAAACAAATTTCCAACCCAAGACAACCTGGATGGGTGACTAGAAAGGTCTATCACACCAGGCTGGGAGTGAAACGCAGTTCAGCGTGGGCACGCAGGGAAAGACCAGGCCTCAGTGACCCTGGAGCAGGCCTCAGGGGACTGAATCACGGGCTGCTGTGGCAGTTTCCAGATTTCTCAACCCATGGAACGCCAAAGGCAACTTAGAAGGTTAATAGGAAAAGTCTGTGACCTCAATGAGAGAGAAGCTTGGTCCCAGCCCCAGTCCTGGAGCAGCCCCGGGGTGGCAGCGGTTGCTTCTGGAGCTCTCAGCCCACTGACTGAGGGGGAATCAAGTAGGTGGCTGATCAGAAGGGAATTGCAGAGATCTCTTTGCGGGTGCTGAGGTAGGATTCTCTTGCTTTGCCTGTGCTTGGATCTGGATCACAATTCTGGGTGGTGGTCCTGGGCTGAGGAGGAGCGCTGTACGGTGGAGCTTGTGGTGGCAGTAGAGAGAAATCCTCCTCACAGTTCCAAGGTAGAAAGGATTGCTTTTGGTCACTCATAGACCAGAGCCCAGGCGAGGAAAGGAGTAAACACCTCGCCCTTGATCATACCACCTGGGAAGAACTGAAAACGTATAGGTCCCTAGAAGTCTCTCTGAAAACAGCTGCACAAAACTCCCAAAGCTTGGGATAGTACATCCTCCACACTGGAAGCAGACCCCTACCTTAACAAAGAGTTTAAAACTCAAGTAATTGGCTGGGAACATGAGCAAACAGCACAAAAAAAAGTCAGACCATAGAATCTTTTTTTGGTGACAGAAGATCAAAACTTCAACAGACTAATAATGAACCATGTTCTCCTTTGTGTTGGCAGAAAGGTGATAGAATGCTGGTCCAGAATCAGACGCACATTCTCTGACATGGCCAATGTGTTGATTTGTTTTGCTCAGTTATACAAATTTGCCAAAAGGAAGGGCTTCTACTTAGTGTGGAGAGAAGGTAAGTTAGTGGGTAGCAATATGTACATGAAAAAGAACATAAATATAACATTTACCAGAGTCAGCCAAAGCCTTCCTGGTAGCAAAAATTAAAGGGGTCCACCACCACATCTAGTTTTAACTTATTAATCACCTTGGGCAGTGCTTATAAGATGGCAGGGAATTGAGGAAGTATATGAATATAGGCATACCTCATTTTATTGCATTTCGATTTGCATATTTTTACAAATTGAAGGTTAGTTAGTGGTAACCTTGAGCAAGTCTATTGGTACCATTTTTCCAATAGTATGTGCTCATATCATGTCTCTGTGTCACATTTTGGTAATTCTCACAACATTTCAAACTTTTAAATTACTGTTATCTTTGTGGTGGTGATCTGTGATCAGGGATCTTTGATGTTACTATTGTAACTGTTTTGAGGTGTCATGAACCAGGCCAATATAAGATGGTTAGTTGATAAATGTTGTGTATGTTCTAATTGTTCCATTGACCAGCAGTTCCCCTGTCTCTCTCCCTCTCCTTGAGCGTCCTTATTTTCTGAGAGACAACAATATTGAAATTAGGTTAAGTAATGACCCTACAATGACCTCTGAGTTTTCAAGTGAAAGGAAGGGTCAATCAATGGGCAAACTTCATTGTTGTCTTATTTTAAGAAATTGCCACAGCCACCCCAGCCTTCAGCAACCACCACCATAATCGGTCAGCAGCCATCAACATTGAGATAAGACCCTCCGCCAGCAAAAAGATTGACTTGCTAAAGGCTCAGATGATAGCATGTTTTGGCATGAATGAAGGGAAATATAGTTAGTTTTCCACAGCATGACTACTATGGAAATGTTTTGCATGACTACACATCTATAACCTGTATTGAGATGCTTTCCTTCTCAATGAGGGTGGGTGGGGAGGGAGGAAGGGAGAAAATTTGGAACCCAAAGTTTTAAAAACAAATGTTAAAGAAAATTGTTTTCACATGTAACTGAGAAATAAGATATACAGACAATGGGGTATAGAAATCTATCCTGCCCTACAGGAAAATAGAAGAGGAAGGGGGTAAGAGAAGGGCAGGGGGAGATAGAAGGGAGGATAGATTAGGGGAAGGGGTATTCAGAATGAAGGCTTTCTTGGGGTTGGGGGAGGGACAAGATGGGGAGAAAAATTTGGAACTTAAAATCTTGTGGAAGTGAATGTTGAAAATTAAAAAAAAAAGTTAAGACTCCCCCCCCCCAAA